CATGCATGTCGGCCAGGGCATCATTGACATCACGCATCGGCCGTTGCTCGACCCATGGAAGAACACGCTTTTCGGCCGCCAGCTGTAGCATTTGCCGGATATCTTCCGGCGAACCAACATTCGATCCGGTCAGTTGAATGCCTTTTTGGATCAGGGACCACGCATGTATCTGAGGCAGCGGTCCTTCGGGGGCCCCCACCTGCACAAAGGTCCCTCCGACTTTGAGCAATCGTAGATACTGGCCCAAGGGCATTTCATATCCATCGACAGTGCAGATGATCAGATCCAACGTGCGGGCGTGTACCCTGCCCCATTTCTCTTCCTCATCCGTAGCAATGAAGGCGTCTGCTCCCAATCCGGTCTTTTCATCCAGTGCGTCTTTCCGTTTCTTCCCCGTCCGCGAGATCGCTACGACGCGACTGCACCCCATTGCTTTGGCCAGCAGAATCCCCAAATGACCCAATCCTCCAATGCCCACGATGCCCACAGATTTGCCCGGGCCCGCACCGTATTTCCGTAAGGGGGAAAAAACCGTCACTCCACCGCACAGCAGCGGCGCCGCAGCCGCCGAAGGCAATGCATCTGGGATCTTGAAAACAAAATGCGCTGGGCCACGCCAGCGAGTCGCGTATCCACTGCATGACCGGCTTCCGTCGGCGTATCGCCCGTTATACGTTCCAACCATGCGCGAGCAGTAGTTTTCCTGTCCGTCGGTGCACGCTTCGCAATCGGCCCGCAGACAAGCGCCACTCTGCGCGCCGATTCCAACACGATCGCCTAAGCTGAAATTCCCTGAATGAGAAACGGTAGAGCCCATCTGTATCACCGTCCCGATGATTTCATGGCCCAGGACGCAGGGGTAATCTGTCTGTCCCCAGCCGGAGCGCAAAGTATGCAGATCAGTGCCGCAGATGCCGCAATGCGACACGGCGACTTCGATGTCGGTGGGCGTGAATGGCTTAGGCTGGAATGTGGTGAAGATGAGCGGACTGGTAGCCGAGCGCGCAACCCAGCCCTTGAAGGTGTCGGACATGTCTAATGTTCTCTCTGAATAATAATTAGTGGGTGGGAAGAAAATTGAGGGTTGGCCAGACTCATTATGTATCTATCTGATGTGGAGAAGCCGGTTTTGCCGAGGTCCGTCTGTCCTTGTCGATAAGCCACGATACAGTGTATAGATCAATACGTGGTACGCTGAAGGGGGAAAAAAAAGTACTGACAATGGGCAAAAATATTGTCATAAGATCTAAATTGCCATGTAGAGTGCCCTCATTCGGATGCACTCCATGCTATACTTGCAGGAACCTAGGGAACTATATAGTATAAACTAACTTCCTCCCACTAACCTCACCCTTCCTCAACTTATCCAACCCCATCAAGACTCCTTCAAAACCTCCTTTCTGGGCCTCATTTTCATTCACACTGATTGGATGGTTTTGAAGCATCTTTTTCTGAAGCAAAATTTCCACGAGACGTGTGATATCAACACCAAACTCGTGATCCACGCCCGAGGCAGGGAAGATTTCTCCTTCGAAGTAATACTCAGAACCCAAACAAGAGTAGCCTAGAAAAAAGCGTTTCTCGACTGCAAATGGCATCTCTTGTGGTAGCTGTGGATTGAGTAGGGACACATATAATGCCGAGTTCAAGTCTGCTTCTCCCGAGTCGCTCTTCAGTGGAGGACCGAAAGAATTTGCACAGATTTCCGCGGTCGGATCCGTGGCCACGGTGTCAAACGCGAACCGGAGAGTATTCGAAGTTGCCGTGTTTATGAGAGAAGATATATTTGGGCTTCTCTATATTGTTGTTAGTCTTTCTTCTTTCTTTCTTAGGGTATGTTAATTATGTTGAACGTACGTAGTCGAAAATAGCATCAGCACCTAGCCGTCGAGCAAGATCAAAGTTCCGCGGAGAACAAGTTGTTACAACTTTGTATCCTGCCCTGTATAATTCCTGTCGTTATTGAAAGCTTTTCAACAAGAGGTAAGGTAAAATGCTCACAGTTTCGCAAGTTGTATCGCAATACTCCCGGTTGCAGTCGAGCCCCCATACACCAATATCCATTTTTTGTCATTATTATTAGCTGTTGTCTCACTCAATAAGTGAGGCGGGATTCCTTGTCCACCAACGTGGAACAACCCCATTCCAGCCGAAAGCACGCCGACTCCCAAACTTGCTGCGGCTTCGAAACTCATATGGTCGGGGATGTGCATCTGTAGATTTGCTTTTACAACGATGTAGTCTGTGAAAGCTCCATATTCGGTATGCAAAGCGTTGCAACCATGTGAGGAGCCGCATATACGGTCTCCAGGCTGGAATACCCGTGATTTTGATGCGGCAGTCACGTCCAGAAGTGGTTCGACTTGTACAACAATTCCTGCGTAGTCGAGACCGGTGACACAACCTTCATAGCGACTTTGACTTGCAGATACCGCTTCGTTAAAACCATCAGGGGGGCCAACGTAATCAATATCAGTCCAGTCAGCAGGGTTTAAAGCAACTGCCTTGGTCTGGACAAGGACGTAACCTGGTTGAAGGGCTGGCATGGGCTGGGTAGTTATGGCGGCTTGACCAGGAGATACCTTGACGAGAGCCGTCCTTGTCAATGGGATTTCAGATACCATGTTGGCTTTTTCGGTTTTTGTTTCTCAAGAAAGAATAATCGAGGTTGACAGCTCCCGGATGATATGGTCCCGGTTTCTGTGAATTGTCTCCGCAAGGTTAAATCAATTGCTTTTTTACGTGCATATATTTATGGCTTAAAAAAATATTTTATTTCGAAAAATTTTCTTCCACCTTTATATACTATTTTTCTTGCAAGAACTTGGCGTTGTGATTTGTTGATTCAGCACAGTAAATGGTCCACTCCGAGGATACCCCGAATAGTCGGGGTTCCTTCCCCAACAGTCGGCTACGACGATGCTAGTGATGAAGTAATTCTATTGGGCAGCCCATTCAATTTTAGTGTTTTTCCGTGGCTCATGTTTGTTTTTATTTACCTAGTCACATTTCTTCCTATAGAAAAGCCTTAGAATAGACAAATCGCAAGGTACTTTATTTGTTTCCCTATCCTATGGTGTGTTCACTCAGGATTCCCAACGTTCGCGAAATTTCCGCAGCGAGGAGTCAAGGTTTTTCTTGGCAGAATCCAAACGATCACCTTGGAATTCAGAATATTCCATATTTGAGATCGTAGTCGAAATAATGAATGCGAAACTAGGAGGAAGGGAGTCCATCAAGAGTAACGAAAAATCGCTGTGTGCGGCCGTGATATTCTCTGTCATAGTAATGAGAGTGTTCAAAACTGCACTAGACTTGCTGCGCAGCTCACTCGGAGTCCTTTTGTGAGATTGATTTATTTGTGATGCTTGATTAAGAATTTGCAGGTGTAAAATGTAAAGAGTCCTATTGTGTAATGTTAAGGGAGAGACCGAAATAAGAATGCTTGAGCAGGTATAACCTTACCTGATAGCCAGAACAATTGCGGTACAATACCGACGCAATACTCTTCCATCGCTATTCATGATAGTGCTTAGAAATGTACGAAGAGCATGATCAAGTCCGTCAAGCTGAAGCAATCTTGTGTCAAGGTCCTCTGCATGTAGCGTCCTAAAAACTTGGTCTAGAAACCACGCAGCTCGCGCCGCGCTTGCAAACGCCACATGTTCTGTGGTATCAGACTCCACCTCATATACTGAAGATGTCTCGGGGCTTCCCTGGTTCTTCGGCTTTACTTGGTGTTCCTTTGGCGGTAGAGCGCTCATATCAGGCATTTGCGTTACCAAAGGCAGTTTAAAATCATCAAGTTCACAAAAAAGGGTTCTAGTGAAATCTTTAGCTCATGTTACGCATAGATAATGAGTTAAACATGATACCTTTCAAGAATTATAATCTGCCACCATGTCTTGTATTCAACCCAAGTGCCAGAATTTCCCTGTTGGGCTGGTTCCGCGAGGTGGATGCGCGCTGCCTGTCCCATCCTAGCACACCCACATATAGAGGCCACCGCATCGTTTATTTTGTGGTGCGCGTACTCATAAACGGCAATAATTATTCCAGCTTGGATGAGCGGTAGTGAAGGCGGGAAAATTGTTTGTGCTTGAGCAAAGATCGTCTTTGCTGTCAAAAAGAGTGTTTCTCGGTCTAAAGACTGCGAAGCGTGTGATGATAATGCCGGGTGATAAGTGATTAGACATATACTCAATAGTAACACGGAAAATGGGCCAGAAGGGGATGCGGCATAGTTGGTAACTTGATCTTGGAAACAAGGGTGCGAGATGATCGGGATGAAGGAGTGCACACCGCAAGAGTAGCGAGCGATAACGTCTTCCACAGATTGGCCCGTTGTTTGGATTATTTGAAGAACCTGGAATTGCAACGTAGAGTGGATATTTGTAGGTTCAGGCAGGAGGATATTAGACAAAGTGTTTGAGAGAAGCAGGGACGAGCGGACCAGGGCATTTTGAAATGCAGGTAGCGGCTTTGATTGAAGCTGGAAGGGCTGGAAACTGTGTGTCGAAAGTATATACTGGCAGTCCAGTTTTTTCCTATCCTTGTGTCAGTTTTTAGTGTTTGAAGGAAACATGCAGAGGGGTGTTGCGATGAACACGGCGGTCATACGCTGTGCAGTAGCCACAGCAGGGCTCGGCTCTGTCGCATTTTTTCTTGCGTAATTTACAGTTTACGCATACTGGTCGAGCCAGCCCTGTGGCAGATGACATTGGCCGTTTGGGCTACAATGCAACTTTTCTATTTATATTTTTTGAATAATGATGAGAAGAGAAGTTCTGCTCAGCCAATGCGGAATCCCGGGATACCCGTCCCTGCTAACTTGATTAACACTCATGCGCACACGGAGAGGAACAGAGCTGAAAAAGGGGTGTTTGGGTGCATATATACATTTACCGATTTTAACTACTTTTCTCCAACTTCCCAAAAAAAGAGAAGGATAAGAGTGGATAGAGGCGGTAAGGTATATTCAAAAAAAAAAGCAAAAAGAGAGGTCCTGCCCGGAATCGAACCGGGGCTACTCGGAGTCTTGCTGAGAATGGTCTCGCATCAGAACCGAGGTTCATAACCACTAGAACACAGAACCGGTTCTGGTAAACGGAACCGATTATAAAATTATTAGACGAATAGCGTTGGATTCTCACATGCTTCTATAGGTACCTTGTTAATGTCTTCAATACTTATAGGATTTTTTATTTGGTTAATCGGGTTTAATAATTGTTCTTCAGTGATCTGTCAGATATTTTCAATGTTGGTGTTATTGGGCTGTTTAGACGGATCTTTGTTTCAACGTCGATGTCGACTGGGTTACATACATGTAATGTGAATGGCGAATATATATATAATGTAGTTTGCGATTCCATGTCCTCGGCAATCCACACGGGGCTCACGTTCAAATTTCGAATCAACATCGAATGATCAATGATGTTGTGATATTGATGCATGTTATCATCATGTCTAAATTACCGCTTCGAACCTACATGTACTAATAACTGCTTCACCACGTTTTGCGATTACATGCCAACTGGCATTGCTTGCGGCATGCCGTTCACTCCAATCGACCCCAGCTCCTTACTGGAAGCATGGACAAGTATGACGGGTGTTAGTGAAGGGTGTTAGTAGCCAGTTAGCTTAATCGCACGGAACCATCATTTGATTTCGGTAAAAATGCGACAGTCATTATTCAACAATCTAATACTCATTGTCATTGCCCTCTCACTCTCGTCACACGGGCTACGTGAGGCAATGGATTATAAATTTAAAGTAGAATTTGAAACATCACAGTGGTTCTGTGTTCTAGTGGTTAGGAACCTCGTTTTTGAAATAGAATTGCGAGTAGCCCCGGTTCGAACCCGGGCAGGACCTTCATTTTTTTCGACCGTTTTCGGCAGTAATTTTTGCCCCACATATAAAACGGTTTCCGCTAATAGACCTAAATAGAGGGCCCCTAATCCCATCACGGTTCTGTGTTCTAGTGGTTATGAACCTCGGTTCTGATGCGAGACCATTCTCAGCAAGACTCCGAGTAGCCCCGGTTCGATTCCGGGCAGGACCTCTCTTTTTGCCTTTTTTGAATATCCCTTATCAAATATATATATTTTTTTGGCACACACACCAAGTAAAAGATGTGTTGGTATGGTAAATTCTTTTGCGGCACGAGTGAGTGCCTATAAATGGGCATTTTGGAACTCTCGCATTTTGACTCCTACGCACCATATTCAACCATACTACCTACCATATAACACTCTTAGGTTTCTTACCACCTTGCGATATTTAATAATTTGCCTTGAACATAATTGTTGGCCAATGAAAACCCATAGTTAACTGCGCAGACGAGCGGGACCCCCACTTCTCGGCGCCGTCGGCGATTGATTGTATAATCGAGATCTGTATACTACAAGATTAGCAACCCATGTATGTCGAAGAGCAGGGGAAAAAAAAAGGACATAAATGGAGACCTTGAACTGGAATCGGGGAATGTTTAGCCCATCACCTTAATACTTCCATCTGCAGTCGGTATGGCAATCGTAAAAGACTTCCCACCTCCAGAGGAGGGTGTTCAGGGCTGGCTTTGCGTCGCTGGTTGTTTCCTAGCTCTTTTTGCTACCTTTGAATTTTTGAACGCGTATGTCATTATTGGTTGTTGATACTCTAAACTGTTCAGCTGAAACTTGGAAATAGGATAGGCGTTTCCAAACAACTTATGAACAGACCGTCCTTCGCCAATACTCGTCGTCGGACATATCGTGGATTTTTGCTGTGCAACTGTGTTTGATGTGGGTGTTGGGTCCACTGTACGGTTGTATACTTGATACATACGGGTCTGCTCCTGTTCTGTACCCATGTAGCCTTCTCTGTGTCTTCTCTCTCTGCATGACCAGCCTCGCAAAAGAGTACCACCAGATTTTCCTTGCCCAAGGCCTGGGCTTCGGGGTAGATGTGGGTGGTGTATTTACTACCTCGATTGTCTGTGTTGGACAGTGGTTCATCAGAAAACGAGGACTGGCAGTCGGTATTGGCACCTGTGGCTCTAGTCTCGCAGGTGTCATTTTCCCATCATTCTCAACCGAGTGATCGACTCCATGAGATTCTTTGGTGCCGTGCGATACACAGTTCTGTTCGTCGGTGTGCCCCTAGCGGTATCTTGTATTATGGTTGGAGCAGGACTTCCTCGCAGGAAATGGAACAGCAAACTACCGTGGTTTAACGTGACCTTGTTCAAACAGAAGCAGTTTGCCCTCTATGCATTCGGTTCATTTTTAGTCATGTACCTCTCCAATACCGGTATCTATTAACGATCATGACTAATTTGTAATAGGTGGCGACTCTGGGGCCCATTAGACTATCCATCGAGAATGGCACAGGAGAAAATGTTTTCGCCGACCCTTGCCTTGTATCTAATTTCCATCATTAGGTATGCCTGCCCTAAAATAGATGCAATGGTATATAGCTGACTCGTAATATAGCTCTACATCAGTCCATGGACGAATAATACCACCTTATATTTCCGACTATATCGGTTATTTCAATGTCCTCACTGCATAAGCCATGCTTACGGGAGCCTCCATGCTTTGTCTGTGGTTATCGTTTAATTACCACTCGTCCCATGTTAGGGACAATTGTTTTCGGCTTGGTATATGTATTTGTTAGTGGGGATCTCGTATCTTTACTCCTACCATGTGTTGGGAAGTCCGGAGACTCAGAGACTTTAGGCCAACGTTTTGGCACTTTCAAATGGTGATATCTGTCAGGTATGTTTCTGATATCCGAATACAACCAGCCCCACTAGCTTTGTTAACAGTTGTCTTACTGGCCGTTCGATAATGGGCAGCATCTTGGCTACACAGTATGGAACAGAATTCGCTGGTTTGCAATTATTTGCGGCCGTAACGGCTCTCATCGGCTCATGCTGTATAGTGGGCTCAACAATTCTATTGTCCCATTCTCGCCAAACGTGGAGAGTATGAAAAAGCACAGGGCTGATTTAAGCACCATAATTAATGAGATAGAGAGTGTGAGACTAAGATAGGTGCAATCGGTTTTATGGAACTATTTGGTGGGGAGAGAGTGGCTAAAAGTATTCCGATAAAAGTAATAATTACGCGAATGGTGAAGCGATGGTAAATACAACCTCTCTTTTGGCTACCCGTGCAACCCTAAACATGAGCGCATATGTGGCCTCCAAAGGTTCAATTGCTTCCATGACCTGTGTGGTAGCTATTGACTATGCAGACAAGAATATTCGAGTGAACGTGGTTGCGCCAGGGGTTATTGTCACCAGTGCTATGGCCCAGGTGGATGGTATAAGAAGTTAATTTTCGAGGCCAGCGGGGAGAACCGAGAGATGTTCCAACTATGGTCGCCTTTCTCACAGGCAATGAGCAAAGAAGCCATATCACTGGATAAATTTGGTCCATCTATGGAGAAAAAGAAGCAAGGTGATACATAAACCATCAGTGCTTGCTCATACATCGGATTACTGGGTAACATATGTTCTATTTAAAATTGGACATTTTAAAATCTAGCGAAGTATTTTCAAATTAGGATTCAAAATGGGGATTGGCCAAATCGAATAGGAAAGGAGAATCAACCTATAGTGAGTGAGAATGTAAAATAGAGAGCTGATTCGATTGGCCCATGAGCAAAGACGGGTCAATTACGGCGCTAGGTAATCTATTACAGCCAGCTGAATGAATTAATAATCAAAATAATCACCAGAGCAAGTCCTGATCAACCTCCCGACAATTACACACAGGGCGAACTTTTGCTAGGCTAGAATGGTACATTAATGCATGTATAGCCAATATACTGGTTAGTGAACGGCGAAAAACCATGGCGGAACGAACAATCAAACGCCGGGTGATGTTGTCCAGAACCCGAACAGGCTGCCTAACGTGCAAGTTAGTTATCCCTCCCTCTCTCCCCCTCCGTTGTTTTTTTTTTATTTTTATTATTATTTTTTTAATTGGCCAGTGTCGGGACTGTTTCGAGAGCTGAAAAAATAAAAAGGGCAAGGCGAGTTAAATGTGACGAGGCCAAGCCTATCTGCCAGCGATGCATTAAGGCGAATCGCAAATGTGCTGGTTATTCTAGTGCGGACGCCGAAGACAAAAAGTCCAAGTCTTTGCATATAACTTACTACGTTCCAAGCATATCTTCTGATATAAAGATAAGACTCGATGCGGGAACTGCCCAAGACCAGCATGCCCTCGGCTATTTCTTTCAATGGTGTCTGAAATGCTTCCCACCTGAGTTGATGGTTCATTCCCAATATTACGAGAACCTTCATGAACCAGCCATAAAGCATGCCATGGCTGCCATGGGCTTGTTCTTTGAGATATACAGACACGATATCACGGGCGTGGCTCAGCAGCAACGGACCATGGCTGCTATGCAACACTACGGAAAGGCGATCAGTTCTCTATTAGAACAATCAAAAACAAAAACAAAAAGAGACACTTCATCGACCTTTTTACGGGCATGTTTTCTTTTTATATGCATTGAGAGTTCTCAAGGCAATTACCAGTCAGCATTGTCGCATTTGCAATCCGGCTTCAGACTTTTTCAAGAGGGAAAGGGGAAAGTACTGCAGAAGGCTAATGACATTCGCAATTCACAAGAAGAAAACATTTTTCATTCGCTTTTCGGGCGTTTCTTGTGTCAACTTACAAACTTTGATGCTTCTGACTGTGCAAGATTCTTTACGCTGACAGATCGGTCCAAGGGTGAGCATATGGCGGAGTTCACGAATCTGGATAATGCTCGGTGGGCTTTGCTCACAATAATTGAGAGATTGATTCAGATACGGAGTCTGTGGGCTTCTCGAAACACCTATTCAAGTTTTCTGAAAGATACTACGAATACCTACCCTTCGGTCGAAACAATACTTGATCACCTGACCCTAGAGATTTTTAGACTCGACCAGTGGATTCTAGCACTGAACATCTATCTTAGTCATGGTGTCCCGGTATCCCAGGTATGTGATGCCTATGTACTTGGACTGTGCGGGTTTTTCCTCAAATTTCGCATCACAATGGACCACGCATCGATCAACTCCCACGACTTTCCCTACATCGACTTCTCGCACATAACAAGCCTTGGCGAGACTCTTCTTCATGGATATGGGAAATTGCCGGCAAAAGTCTCGTGTGCCCCGGGAGAGGAAGACCGTGGAGCCAGCGAAGAAGCCAGATGCCCTTTGCATGGGCTATTTATCGATGAGAACCGTTCGGAATCGCGATTGGATGCTGAAATGTCTGATAATGGTTCCTCAGATCAACAGAAACTATTCCTCGTCTTAGCTGTGTTTTGCTCGCTCTGTGTTGCTTCAGTTTACAGTTCTGACCCTGATACCCGTCGCAAGGCCCAGGACACGGTTCTTAGTACCTGTCGTTGCAAGGCTGGGTGGGATATGAATTTGACGAACTACATCGCCCGCCTTCTATCTCCTGTCACAAATTCATCAACCTACGAAATACCATTTGATCATGACGCATTACTTGAATACGAAAAACTCCTGTCACACGAAACCCATGTATTGCTTGCCCAGCTTCGGCTCTTAAGGTAATCTCTGGGGTCACTGCGCACAGAATTCATTATTTAGCGAAATTTATGCCCTGATTAGCACTTGAGCAAATCAATGACACATGCGTTCATTAAGTACTAAATTAGTGCCCCTTTGCTACCTTCTGCTTCCTCCATCGATTGAATAAGTCATTTGGACCACCCAGGGCTGAGCCAATTTTCAGCGTACCAGGGTGCTTTGCTGCCACGGCCGCTTCGTAGGCTAGACGGTATTCTTCGATACCGTCTACAAAGAGGGAACGCTTCTCCTCCCATCCAGTGACGCGACGGATTTTTGCCGA